AGCAGGCTAAACTGCACACGAACGTGCCACGCCCGCCTCGGTCGGCTGCTATGATGGAAGGTCCTGAACCAATGTATCTTTCGTATGCTTCTGCTGTTGGACAGTAGAAGAGCAAGGGAATCAACGTGCGATGCTTCCGGTGCGAAAACATGGGTCACTACGCACGTGAGTGTACGGCACCAGTACACTGAAGCCAAGGTTGACGTGGCGATACCCGGTATCGTCACGGTCGAACAAAAAACGCAAGGGACCAGTAGGCGTGGGGCGCCCTACTGGTAATGCAGTCACGTGTGTCTACAACGGACACGCGGTATTGAGGTCTGCAGCCCCCAGTGAGAGGGAATCTCACTGTGAAGTACAAGATGACATGTCAAACCTTGTCACCGTGAAGGTGAAGTCGATGACAATGAGAGCGGATTCTCTTCGGGTGTTGGTGGACTCGAGCGCGTCGAACAACTTTGCTCGACAACAAAGTCTGTCTTTGTTGGACTTCGAGGGGAATCATGTGCTTCGAAGTCAATTGGAAGTGCGATTGGCAACGGGTGCCATCGTGAAGACCGAGAAGCGCGTGATTCGCGCACGCTTCTCGGACAAACACCGGGTGTTTGTGGAAGAACTTCTCGTCCTGGACTTGGACGATAAGTTCGACATGGTGTTGGCCATGCCGTGGCTTACACGGCATGCCCAACACCATGCCGACCGGGAGAAGCGTACGGTCGTACGCTTCGGACGCCGCGGTGCAACAGAGAGCGATGGCCCTGTTAGTGCAGCGGATATACCTAACCGTGCTTCCAAATCTCCTTCATAGACAGTGGCTCGCGCCGCTGTCTCCGGTCGCAGCGCGAGGAGCCCGAGAGCTGTAACGACTCCGAGCGTCGTTGACAGTAAAAGAGAGACACTTCTAGAATGTTCTCCACCGTAAGGCGTCGAGGTGACAGCAGCGTGTCGACTCCGGGAGTTGACACCCGCTCGATATCAGAATCGAGAAAGTTCTCCGCCGTGAGGCATCGAGGTAACAACGGTGTGTCAACTCCGGAAGTTGCGACACACTGCTCCGCCGTAAGGCGTAGAGGTGACGACAATGCATCGACTCCGGGAGTCGATGCGACAACCTGTGTGGACGGTTGCAAACGTCCAGCACTAAAGCTTGTGCCGCAGACTAGAATGTCTGCCGGTTGTATCAAGGAACGTTCGTCCATGGCCGGGCCTGGGCGAAACGCAAGTGAATCAGGGATTCACGACAAGAAGCGATATCACAAGCTCAAAACGCTGCGCAAGCCTCGGTCCGGGACCGAGACTCTTCATGGTGTGTCTGCCGGGCAGACACAAGTGTCAACAATGACCGTCAAGGCGTTGAACGGCTTGACGCGGGCCTGAACTGGGTATCAGTACGAGAAGATGGAGTTGGAAAACCCTCCGACTGATACGTCGGAGTTGATCGCGCTTCCAGTCATGAGCTGGAAGCGCTTCGCAAAGGACCTGTACGATGGACGCATCGAACAGCTATGCATTCTTTCGGAACGCGAAAGAATGACAAGCGAAGCGGAAGAGTTGAGGCAACTCTTCGCAGGAAGCGCCACTGAGAGTCTCAGTGCCAAGACGAAGAAGGAGCGCTTCGAGGAGCAGAGTTGGGACTCACTGAAGTCGAGTCCTTATTACGAGATTCTGCGAGAGCACAGGGACGTACTCCCGAACGAGATCCCTGCGGAGCTTCCGCAGGACAAGGGAATACAACACGAGGTTGATCTCGTGCCGGGGACGAAGTATTGCGTGACGCGGCA